AACATCACTCTCTGGTTGCTGCTGAACTCAAATTCATCAAGAGGGACGCTGCCCGTTAAGACAGAGGGTTCTGGCACAGGGATGAACACTTGAGCCAGGAGGAAACACGATGATCCAAGCTCTTCAAACACCTGCCCACAAACAGTGCGCCCATATGGAGATGGTGAGAAAAGAATACTTCTCCTGAAGCTATTTATCAGGGATAGCACACTTAAAGGTTCAGTGTGTAGAATTTAGTGATATCTCGGAGTGAAGTTTCATGCTGCAGCTGAATACTCACCTCACCCTCCCCTTCCCAACATGAAAGAGAACCTGTGGTGAACTTCATTTGTCATGAAAACTCAAAAGGTTTTAGTTTTTCCAGTTTGGACGAGAGTAAAAAACATGGTGGCCTCCACAGAGAGGACCTGCCCTCCATGTAAATATAAACTTTTTAAATATAAAGGGCATTCTATGGTAAAGAAAACAACAATTCATAGAATTTAGATGAAACACACCAGTGAAAACATCACTAGGATTATTTCATATTCACTTTCTGCCAAAAATCCCTTTCACCTAAATTTTACACACTGAACCTTTAAGTATTCTGTACTGTACCTGCAAATTGATGCTTTGAGGACAATTGACTATCTTGAGATTGAAAATCTGACCAAAGTGCACTCTGAAATCAGTGTTCAGGGAGCGGCTGTCAGTTCGGGAAACTTCTTTGCCATTGTACAGGATCTTGATGAAAAGAGAGCGTCTTGCAACATCTTCTCTTCGAGCTACTTCAGCCCTACAACAAAAGAGAAAACAGAAGCATCCACAGTGAAGGCGCAGTCCATCTTCAAATGCTATCATCATACTTTTGTAAAAACACTAGTGAGATATCTGCCATGGAGTGAGATAATTTCACTATTTTCAAGTACACATAAAGTTTATCTTGTGACAGACACCAAGAAATTAGTAATATGTCCTCCCAGAAAAGTTGTTCTGTTGGCAAGTAACCTTTGATCGGGGCTGGTGGCCAAATGTCTTTTTTGATGGGGGCCTGTCGCAGCCAGTAACATGATAACATAACTGGGTGAGAATCGCACATTTAAAACAGCATAACACAGATTAAATAGGGCCCTAGAGGTCAGTGCTTAGGCGTCACAGTGTGCAGGAGTCAGGTTGCCAGCTGCCACTCAAAGATTAGGCCTGCCATTAATACCCAGCTCAGACTCACCACTTCCCTCGTCCAGCTCTCAAACCCAGCAGCCTGCCTCACCCTCATCCGCTCCAGCCATCTCTCCCTCTCACCTTGGTCTGCTTGCCTGGCTCTGCTTATCATTGGAACTCACTTGCTTGGCTCACAGTTTCCTGCCTAACCAAGTGACTTCATTAGTGAAGCCTGAACAAAACGCTGACTGGAAATTTGTTGGAATCTGTGTGTTCAACATCCCAGAAAGGAAATAAGATATAGTGTTATACCTTTTTCAAAACAAGACAACTGCACTTTTAGAACTATAGAACTATTTATGATAACAAACATCAAGAAATATTTGTGCATAGTGTGTTCATAGGGCCATACTTTTGTACTGCTATCACATGCTTAGTATAGTTATAAATAAGAAAAAACTTCCAAACAACCTTAAATGCATCACACTGCTAATCACATCGGCCGGTCTTTTCCGGGGGAAGCAACAAAGTAAAACAAATAATGCTCACATCCTTTGACTTGTTTACTCAAAACTTTTCTAAAAAGGTGAATCTAAGTTAACATCTTTTGTAAGAAACCCCGACTTTCTGCATGATTGTGCTCTTACCTGGGGCAGAGGTCATTGGCTGTGATGTTTCCAGATGCATGC